CCTATGTCAAAAGATTTTCCTTCTTCTTCAGCCACAATAACCATGCAACGTGTTACATGGATATATATCTAGCAAAAACATTCAGACCTGTGCAATAAAACTACTGAAGTCTCTGCCAAGAACCTCTACTCTTTCTAACAGAAGAAGAAGAGGAAGAGGAAGAGGAAGAGGAAGAAGAACAAGAAGAACAAGAAGAACAAGAAGAACAAGAAGAACAAGAAGAACAAGAACAAGAACAAGAACAAGAACAAGAACACGAACAAGAACAAGAACAAGAACAAGAACAAGAACAAGAACAAGAACAAGAACAAGAACAAGAACAAGAACAAGAACAAAAACAAGAACAAGAACAAGAACAAGAACAAGAACAAGAACAAGAACAAGAACAAGAACAAGAACAAGAAGAACAAGAAGAACAAGAAGAACAAGAAGAACAAGAAGAACAAGAACAAGAACAAGAACAAGAACAAGAACAAGAACAAGAACAAGAACAAGAACAAGAACAAGAACAAGAACAAGAACAAGAACGTTGAATTGTTGAGAGGTATGAGTGATGACATCACTTAACAGTGAAGAAAGTCGATCGGGCGACAATGACCTCATTTGCATACTCACAGTCGTGTGTACGGGGCTTTAGTCAATAAAGAAATCAACAACAGGTTTTGGGTTTTTAAAGGTTTTTAAAAAAAACATTTATTACAACACAAATAAGAAAATGCACAAGAAAATGAAAATTAATATTTGAATATTTTTGACATTTGTTTTTCAAACATAAAAGCAAGCATTGGAAAAAAAATGAAAGTAGCCAACTACATTACAGACTGATAAATACATTGAACCGTATTCCCAAGTGAACTATTTATATAAGAACTTTCTCGTTTTCTTCTTTCTTTATTTCTATCTTCGTCTGCACTCTCGCTAGTTCCTGTCATTTTGTACTTTTGATAGCATTAATTTAATAAAAGATCAGCTTCAATCCATACTGATTATTTCTTTAAACCCCCCCCCAAAAAAAAACAACAACAACAACAAATAAACAAAAAGTACAAAGACGACAAAGGTTTCCGACAGACGCTGCAAAAATATGTCTTTTCGTTTACCCCCCTCCCCCCCCCCCCCCCCCCCCCTCGAAACCCCTCTCATTGTTGTATTAGTTTTATGGAATAAAACAACAACTATGCTATGCTTACACCACTCAGTCATACACATCATGTATTTCCTTTTTCTATGAACCCCTGTGTGACGTCATCAACACCACCGACGCCTAACTAGAACTGAAATACTAGAACAATGTCTCCCACACTGTCCCTGTCTCTTACCGAAGACGAACACGAAAGGAAATAAGAGCAGGTGGGTGGGAGTTATCGTTAGTCTCTTCTACTATGTCCACAGCTGTATTGAAGTACTGCCGGGACTACTGCTATTGCTACAACTCATCATGTATTGCTGTCTTTACAAACTACATTACCAAATAAATGTAGTAGATAATGATGTAAAAAAAATGATAAGTTAAATAACACCAGACTATATCTAAACTTTTGCAATATAGTAGGCTACTCTCATTTTTGTTGGTTAAACTTTTGATTTGTGGTTTTCTGTTGTTGGTGAAGGATGCCAAACGAAGTGAAATAATTTACCCCAAAATGAAATATATAAACAAATGAATGAATGAATGAATATAAATGAACAAATGAATAAATGACCAGATGCATAATTTTAAAAAGGAATAAATAAATAAACGAACATACGAATGAACGAATGATTATATGAACATTTTCCTATTCTGTGCAGGGTTTTAGGGAAAAAGCAAACAGGTTTGTTGTTGTTGTTGTTGTTGTTTCATATAAACTTTTGTTACAACACAAATATTTATTAGAGAAATGCATATAATATGATTTTGTAAAGCATGTGAATGTGACACTAAAAAAAAAAGCATTTAATTATGACATTAGGCTTTTTAACACACTAGCAAACATTTTCAAGTAGCCCATACATAATAAAATATCAAGCACACACCTCCAGGCTATCTTATGCTTGGTGAACAAGCTAAACACAAAGAACCAAATGTCAATGTGAACAAAATCTATAGCAAAGTTAGGAAAGTAATCGCTACGTCAATCTACACAATAACATTTTAGTTTCTTATTAAAGTCACAGAACAGAGCCCAGTGTTGTACATCAAGCAAAAACATTGTCACTTGTGCAATGAAACTAACAATAATAATAAAAAGCATTTGCATTGTGTATATCCCCGCTTGACAGCAAGCTCTATACGCTTTACACTTTTTCCCCTAGCAGAGCCAAGAACGCTCAAAAACATTATCGGCTTCCCGGGAAGCATACGGTTAAAGCAGCTGATTAATCAATAAGATACTATCAAACTGAAAAGAGATATTTAGCTGACTGTAGCTCGGTCTCATTTCTACCTGGACGAAGTGCTTTCCCAAAGACAAACGTTCGACCGTTGACGGGATTCAAAATCACGAACGTAAGGTTGCGAGTCTTAGAGCTTATCATTAGACTACTTTGAAATGTTCAAAACTTTAGACTACTTTGAAATGTTTAAAACTTTAATATTTCTTATAATAATAATAATAATAATAATAATAATAATAATAATAATAATAATAATAATAATAATAATAATAATAATAATAATAATAATAATAATAATAATAATAATTGCATTTATATAGCGCATATCCATGCTCAAGAGCATGCTCTATGCGCTTTACAACTATTATTACCCCAGCAGACCCTTTGAGAACACTATGAAACATTCTCGGCTTCTGCGGAAGCATACAGTGCAAGCTGCGGATTTCACGCGCTCAAACACTTCTTACACAAGAAGGAACTGTTTTCAACGTTTCAGAAACAGAGTTCTGTTGGAAGTGTGAAATCAGCTTAATATGCTGCTTTTGATATAAGACTTTAAGCTTTTTCCTGTCTCGATGAAGACTTTATTTGTTCCCTACATTCTGTTGGAATAGCTACCAGAGTTTTTACTAAAAGAAAATTTTAAAAATACTACTGCTTCATTTTTAAACTGCATAATGACTCCCCAGACAATACATATACAGAGAGAGAGAGGGGGGATAGAGAGAAAGAGAGAGAGAGAGTGTGTGTGTGTGTGTGTGTGTGTGTGTGTGTGTGTGTGTGTGTGTATGTGTGTGTGTGTGTGAGAGAGAGAGAGAGAGAGATGAGAGAGAAAGAGTACGAGAGAGAGAGAGAGAGAGAGAGAGAGAGAGAGAGAGAGAGAGAGAGAGAGAGAGAGAGAGAGAA